TATCTTCCACCTCCAACCTGCTCACAGGCAGATGTAAGATGAAAGACCCTGAACCCACCAGGCCTATACATTATATCCCCTCGGTTGGGCTAGCCCCATACTACACAGAAACGTCAACCGAGACGTCTCTGTTACCAGCTTTGCAGCTGGTCATAACAGTAGTCAAAACATGAAGCAAATCAATGTGTGTGTGTCTGTTGATTAAGTGGTGTGTAGCTAAAGACATTCTCACAGACTTCTAGTAACATGTCGTGACTTAAACATAAGAACATATTATGGCTAAGGCTACAGTTATACATGTCATAATAATAATATTAAACACCCTGTCTGCTGACAGTCATCAACTCTTCTCTCTAGTTATCCTTGACCTGATGTACCCTGTAGAAACTCATAAGCATGACTAAGCATTTAACAGTCTAACTAGACATCCTATCTCCACTAAACATTTCTAATACATAAAGTATCTAACCAATATCTATCTGACTAAAAATACCTAACACTGAACAGTTGATGGGGACCAAAGCAGAGCTAAAATGTGTGTGAACAGGCCTAATATTAGCTGGGTGGCAAAACACAACTACAAATTAATGCTATTATTGTTAACTGGATCTGTAAAAAGGCAGTTTTTCTGTGGAAGTAAATTCCAACCAACAAATATGTGGGTACACTAGACACATTTTGAGTGCTACCTAGTTTGCAACTCTGAATTTGAGAGTTTGCAGGTGTACAATCAGATTTGAAAGTGTAATCTGGCCATGTGTGTGCTTGTTTCTGAGTCTGCTCTTTCATTTCTCTACTGGATTTTGTGTGACAGTTTGTGGGTAGCAAAATATTTGAAGTGTGCAAAACAAGTTTTGAGAACTAGTGTATTCAGTTTGCAAGTCAGAATTTGAATGCACATGAGCAGAAACACATTTGAGAGCAAGGGAGGATCCCTGCTGCTGCTCAGATCATTTGTTACACTAACGATGCTGTTCTCCCTCACTCTAGAATCTGTTTCTGCTCTTACAAATCTATGCCTGCATGCTCTTGAATTCTGACTTGCAAATTGAATAGTACTCACAACTTGTTTGGCGCACTTTCAAAATTTGGGGATGTGGACAGACATTCACGCAAACCTCAGAGGAGAAAGACGCAGAAGCGACCGGGATTATGCTCTCAAATTTGATTCTGCACTTGCGTACAAATATGCGCCTGCCTGCTCTTAATGCTGAGTTGCAAACTGAGCAGTGCTTGAAAATGTGCTTTCTGCACCCTCAAATGGCGCGGATTTAAGTCTATAATTTTTTGCTGACATGTTTGTCACATTAATGTTACATGCTAATTTTGTGCTTACAGTTTGTTTCTCAGCTCTGAAGTAGCCAGTGCTGTCCACTTCTGTTTCAAACCTTGTTTGCAGAAAAGTCTACAGTCCAGCACATCTTGTCATAAAAGTGGGTGGTATATAACACAGCTAAAACTATAGTTTCTTTCATTTTGGACTATGCAGGGCTCTGCCGTCTCAATCATTTGTAATGCCAAGTCTGTTTGTAATTGGTCAACAGCAAAAATTTCATTGTCATTGCCAGATAAACTCCATGGAAACGTTGACTTCACCTTTATAAGCTGCTTCTGGCAGTTATATTAAAAGAATTAATTTTGCTTTAAAATGTGCCTGCTATGAATGACCAGACTCTTTACTGTAACATCTTATACTTAATTATTTTGCAGATTTCTATACATTTTGCTCCTCATTCATGGTGGTGTACTGTAATTCTGCTACCAGCTGTGTCATTTTTGCTGTTTCTGTATTAATAGCCTTGCTAATTTCAAGTTATTAATTCTGTGTGTTTCTCTACACTGTAATTCAGCGACTGTTGTTTCCATTTAGTACATGCAGCACAGGTGGAATCATCCTGGAAGAGGAACCTCTGCTCTGCTGCTCTTCCTGATGAGGTTTTATTTGTAGTAGAATATTCACTTATCAGAATCCAAGGTGTAAGGATAGAGGCTGTTGGCTGCTATACAGATCAAAATGCCCTGCGACAAACTTGTGATTAAGGTTGAATAATTTGACTTTCTTCATTAGGTGTACTGTAGGCAGCTGGATATAATATTTAGCTCAATACAGATGTAAATGTCAGCAGTGACAGATTTAGGAAATTTTGGACAGGGTGGCCACACTCAGAGCATGTAAAAAGTAAATTAACTTAATGAAATTGTTTATTTTGTGTAATTAATGAGTCACACATAGTGCGTACCTTATCTAACTGTTGCTACACTTCTTATTTACACCTGGCCTTGGGCATTGCTGCTGCACGAGGCACCAGGGGTGGCCAATTAGATCCAGGGGGTGGCCAGTACCTCCCCTGGCCACTGCTTGAATGAATAGTGGTTATGGCCCCACAGATGTTCAAGTGTGTCTGCTTGTGTGTCTGGTATGACTTATGGCCTAGCAGGGTGCATTCTGTGACTTGCACTGTTAAGATATTTTGTCCTCACAGACCAGCTCTGTATGATGAGTGAGCGGACAATAACAGTGAAGAAAGAACTCTGAATTACTGTGTACATGTATGCTGTCTATGATTATCTTATATCCAAACCATTTTGAGTTATTTGAGAAGACGATGGGACACAGCTGTTTTCTCTCCTTTTCTTGCAGCCATAAATTCAGTCTCCATTTCCTTCCAGACACGTTGCACAAATTGAATGCTTGCTTTAAAAAAAGCAGATGTGGGAAAAAATATTTTTCTGTCATTTCCTGGCACTTTCATCTGTGCAGATACTTTGCGGTGTTTGTGCCAGAGAGCGATGGGATGGAGGGGCAGAGGTGACAGAGCAGTGGTTAAAAAAAAAAGACAAAGTAATGTAGTGGCTGACTTTGACAGGCTGATTTCATTTGGTTTCATCAGACTCTTGCCGCAGACAGGCCCAGTCACCGCTAGCTTCTTATTGGGCTGCTGGTGGACATACTGGATACTAAGCGAACAGGGTTAGTGGAGCTTAACAGGGACGTGATGCCCTGCTCTGCTCAGGCTCACAGTGGCAGCAGCCAGTTTAAACTCAACAACGAGGGAGCTGTTTCATAGAATATATTTCACTCAGACCCCTTTAAATGTCTGTAAACTGTATTCTGGAGCTCCCTTTGTGCTTTTGTGAAACTGAAAATCAACTTTTGGAACAAACCATTAAAGATCTTTTTTCATTGTTTTTCATATCTCATTTAATCACATGAGGGAAATCATATCATTGCAGAAGCTCCTTGTGAATGGCACTAAATCATATCACACAATTAAGGGAGGGCTGGGATGGAGGGGAGTACAAATGGATGATATATATTATTAATAAGTTGAATATGAGACAGCAGCAGAGGAATGGTGTATTTCTTGTCGGGGGGGTATGAGTCATACAAATTACTGGCAACACAGGGACTGCTGCTGAAATCCCCAACAGTGCAACATGATACCGAACATGTGGAGCTACACATCACAGAGGAAGCTCTACTGTGACATTTTAAGGTTTGAGTAATAATGAATTCTGATTTGCATAATAATAATAATAAAACATTACACAATTTTGCACTTGGTGGTTAGAAAAATGGAAATTGGGAAGGGTTTCATTTCACATGCTCTGACAACTTATTGCTTTTTGATGGATTTGTCCAAGTGTGCGCGGACCAGATCCTTAAAAGTTTTAAGCATTGTTCATCTGCTTGTCTGCGTCCAAAGATTAGTGCCTTTCTGCTTTAATTTGGACTTTAGATGAGGATATATCTTTCTGGGGCAGATGCACCAAACAGCCTGAAGGCTGCTTACTCACTAATCCATTTTTTGGTGCTGGTCTATTACTCTTTCAGATTTTCAAAACAAGCTTTTGGTTGCAAGACAGAAGGTTTTCAAAGTGTGGGACTCATCCTCCTTTTTGGACTTCAAGTTTGAATTACTGTGATTGAGTGGTGGCCTTTTAAAATGTATAATATCAAGTGTCACAGTCTAAAAAGACAAAAACATGTGACTTGACTTGGTTAGAGACGTTGTGAGGCGTAATGTAGACCTGTCTTGACTGAAACTTGACTTAAAAACACCTCTGGTGAGAAGAATCTGGTGTTAGTGTTCATAAAAACATTGGCCATTGATGAATAATGCTAATTTTATCCCTCTCTTTTGATTTAATAATGTGGAACCTCACACTGTCTAATGGTTGTTGAATGTGCTTCCACCTACAAGTGACCATTAAAATACTGAAATGGTGCACTCTAATCACTTGGTGAATGGCACTCAGTAGAAACTTGACAACGGACCTGACACTGAAATGAGTTATCCAATAATTATGAACTAAAGAGCTGCTTTTTGGGCACTGGGAAGTATTTTTTCTAGCACATAAAGATCTGCGCCAGGCACTCAATCAAAAAGCCAAGCCAGAAAAGACAGCCTTGTGCGATGAAATATACGGCCATTTCTCTGCGTGTGGCAGTTTGACATCATTATTGCACACAGGGCTTTGTGGACACAACTAATGGTAGACTTTATCGATCATGTGTGGTGCGGATCTGTCAATCCAGGCTTGTCCAGCTTGTGGCAGAGTGCCGGGGCTGCTCCTCAGGGTCTTCTCCAGCCAGCTGCTGGTCCAAACAGCCCGAGGTTATTATCACACTCCATCTAAAAAGACATCTGGACACAAATGAGAACTAAAACAGATCAAAATAAAAACAACAGATAAAGAGCGAGATGGTATTCAGATATGTGTACAAACAGGTTTTCTATAACAAATTTTGACTTCTGAAAGCAGCTTCATTTTTAACTGTTAAAGTCTCCAAAAACTGTACCGCTTGTTGATTATTCTCCTCTGACAAATGTGCTGAAAAATAAATCCGAAGGCCAGCTGCTGTTATTGGTTGCTGTGACTGGATCTCACTGAGTGCCAGGCAGGGCGTCCCTGGAGTGACCTTGGGGGTAATGAGCTCCTGATCACGAGTCAGGAAATCCAGCATTCGACACCCACCCACCACCCTCCCCTTATCCCATACGACACACAAAAAGAAGAAGAAGGGGAAAAACTACACAGCTATTGTATGCTCAGTCCGCAAAGAGAAATAGTATTGGAGAGGCAAGGCAGAGGTGCAGATGAAAAGAGCCTAGAGAAACCACTTCTTCAAGCTCTGATACAAAACTGCCAAACCTCCAAAATAAGTAAGTGGATTTTTTTTTTTTACCTTGGGGTTGCACAGTTACTGATGCATGGCTTTTGTGGGGGTAGGTGTGATGTGATGCAGAAAGACGATGATGAAGGCCATTTTTGGTGTGTGTTTCTTTATGTGTATATCTATGTTGTGTTTATAGAATTTCTTCAGCTGCTAATATAAACCCTTGTTCATCCCCAGCATTTACTTTTAAAACTCACTGTAAGAAAACTTTGGGCGAAGTTTCTATTCTGACCAAATCAGTATTTTTCATTTTTCCTGATATTTTGCTGATTGGTAAAATATGAAACAGTAAAACTAAAATGCTTCTGTTGACATGGCCCTAATTGTTTCTTTGTCGCTCTTCCCATTTTGAGCAGATTTTCCCCTGAGGCTATTGATAGTAGATAATAAACATTTGAAAACATAAAAGACTATTAAGCTTAAAATTCTGAGAATTATGGCTGCAGATGGAAGCGTGGCTTTTACACATACTGGGTAAACAATTGGAAAGTCCTAATAATCCAGAAGCCGTGGGCTAAGGACTGTGGTGTTAAATCATTAACAGAGTGGTTTCCTCAGTGATTAGACTTCAAACATCCATATGTTTTGTTTATTATAGCTGTCAGCCAAATACATGCAAGCCCAATTAAATATGTCTGTGCATGTGTACTAGTTGAAGTGGGCCACTTTTTCCCAGGATGTCGTAATTTGGGTCAGGCCTGACTGGAATGACAAACCCCAAACAGCCGTATTGTATCAGCACTATGTGGTCCTGCAGACCTTCTGCTTGCGTTGCCATGGCTTTCTCTGGCCCTGGTATAGCAACCCAA